CACACACACACTCACACTCTCACACACACACACACACACACACAAACAAAGAAAAACAAGTAGATAGAATAGAAAAAATAGAAAGCTAGTGTTTGTTTGTTTTTTGTTGTTTTTTTTAAATAAAAATAAATAATAATAAATAAAAAATAAAAAAAGAAGATAAATATAGATAAAGTAGAATTAAAATAGAATAGAAAGTGTTAGAGTTAGAGGGTCAGATAAAGGTGGAACAGATGTGTTTTTAGTCATTTCTTGAAGATGGTTAAGGACTCAGCTGCTTGGATTGATTTGGTATAATTTACCTGTTTATGCAGCTCATTATTATTTACCAATAAACACGTGTAGTGTTTTTAGCAGCATATGCTTAGCTTATTTCTGCATAACCAGATTGTTTTGCTTCGAGCTGAAGAAGAAAGAAGATAAAACGGCTCTCAAGTGACTTATCTGTAAAGCAAATGATGTGTTTTGTTGGCTTTGTGTCGATTTCTTCAGGGATTATATGCAACCTAATGCTGTTAACAAGTGATATTTAGTACTTAGCAGAGACTTCATCATCTTGAGGTCTGATATTTTCTGTCAGTTTTAAAATTAATGGGGGTTTTTTTTGTGTTTTTTTTAGATTGTGGATCAATGAGCTCCAGATGGGTGAGGATCTGGCAAGTGAAAGTGATCTGCTGTCAGTGATCAACGAGGTGGGCTTACACACCACTCTTATTATTTGATTTTAAAAATATATTTAACAGGTATAGACATACGGTGACACAGTATGTAACAATGTGCAGTATCTGAAGTTCGCTGAGTTTGAAGAGACCGTGAAAGTGTTTGAAAAGGAAGTCAGACGCAAAGGAAAACCTGTCCTCAAAAGTGCAGGACACTCACGGCGACACTCCAAAACCATCGGCATTCACGTGAGACTGCTTTCTGATCTCATTTATTCAAAAATAGCATACACTTTCAAATTGCAGTGTTTTTCTATTACGTTAACGTGCTTTAATATCATTGCAGTATAAACGTATTGACAAAAGTTTAAATTTAATTGTCTTTTTAATGACCTTTTCCTGTTTTGTTTATCTTATTAGCCAGCTATTTTAAAATCGTAGAAACTTTTGCGCTTTTTCATAAGAAAGTCAGAAAAAAGTTTGTCAATTTGATATTTATGTGTACAATTTTTGCAAAACAGAATCAGTGTTGTAAAGTATTTCACAGATTAGCTTGCTTTAGAATAATCTTATTATAAACATATCAGCTAAAGTTTATTTAACTTTTAAATAGTCTCTTTAAGTACCCCCCCCCCCCCCCCTATTTTGTTAGTGTTATTAGCCGTAATTCCGAAATGTTCCGAACTTTTGCACTTTTTCATAAGAAGTTGTCATTTTAATAAATTTGATATATACAGTATTTTTAAATACATAATCAGTGTACCCAACATGGCTTATTAACATCGTGCAAAGCATTTTAGATGTTTTCTAAAAAGTTTAGAAGTTTAAATATCAGAAATATGTTAACACATACAGTACAATGTATTTATAATTTATATATAATCTGCAATATATTCATATTTAAATAATAATAATAAAAGAAAGCTTTTGCTGGATGTTCAGATAAAAGCCCTGTAATTACCAAACTGCTCAGTATTTGGACATTTTATTTTAATTATAAAAAAAAGACTGAAAAGTGAAAAGCAACTAAAATGTACAGTTTTTATAAATTACTTGATATTAATGATTTATGTTATATTTATACATATTTATGTTATATTTATATAATTTTAGCTTTCGTGTCCCGAAAATATTGCTGTCATTACGTCATGGCAAGCATTTTTGAAAAAAATAAATAAAAAAAACGTTTATTTATTTACATATTTATTTATTTACAAACCGCTCAGTATTTGTAATTTTTTTTTATAATAATAATATATTTAAAAATAAAAAGCAACTTAAAAGTTAATTAATTACTTAAAGGGATAGGTCACCCAAAAATGAAAATGTGATGTTTATCTGCTTACCCCCAGGGCATCCAAGATGAAGGTGACTTTGTTTCTTCAGTAGAACACATATGATGATGTTTAACTCCAGCCGTTGTCAGTCGTATAATGCATGGAAATGGTAACAAAATCTATGAGAATAAAAAAAACATGCACAGACAAATCCAAATTAAACCCAAAAAATTGTACGCGCTCTGGCGTAGTTTACGTTAATGGGTGTGTTGATATCCAGCCGAAGAGCAATCAACCATAACTTCAGGCGAGCAGGCTCAGAAGTTGGGAATACGTGGAAAGTCACCACTCCCGAATGAGTTTGCATGAGAGAACGTAATCTTTTAGTTTTAAGTCGGTTTGAACAATCCGGATAAGTGCAAGTAAGTACCATTTTGATTTGCCGTCGTACCTACAATGACTGTGCACTGTGTAAACAATGAGTGACGTATACGCGCGAGAGATCACTTCCGGCGCTTGCGTAAACTACGCCAGAGCGCGTACACACCTCACGCACCGGATGCCTTGCGCGCGCACAAAGACAGTTAGACATAGTGGTGTATTAGAGGTAAAAAATTATATAAATACTGTTCGGTTTCTGGCACAAACCGATCGTTTCGTGTTTTAGGACATCAATGTGTCGTCACGAGCCACAGGGTTTAACTTTGGATTTGTCTGTGCATGTTTTTTTTACTCTCATAGATTTTGTTCCATTGCCATGCATTATACGACTGATAGACTGTAACGGTTGGAGTTAAACATCATCATATGTGTTCTACTGAAGAAACAAAGTCACCTACATCTTGGATGCCCTGGGGGTAAGCAGATAAACATCACATTTTCATTTTTGGGTGAACTATCCCTTTAAGAGCTCGTTTTTTTCCTCCCAATAGGAGGATTTTCTCAGCTCTTTTAATGATGGCGACTATAAGGTATTCTCTGAGCTGTGGGCTAAAACCATTCCTCCGGAGATTCGGGATTTTGATCCGGTTGCTCAGAAACTGGAATTCTACTTACAAATTCATTTTACAATATACCCACTGAAATCACCTGTAGGAAGTCACGTAAGTACATTTTGCTGTTGGGAATAGTAATAAAATGACCATTTTTAAATGTACCGAATAGACAAATCTACAATGCATGTATTCTCTTTGACCAGCAGATGTCCTCATAAAGTAAAATATTCAAGCAAACCTCTCGTTCAGTCAAATACATGACTTGAATCAGTATTTGAATGAGATGGTATTAGATTTCAAATCATTTTTTGTTAAATGTAAAAATATGTTTGTGTAATACAGGATAAAGGAGAGTTTGACAACAGGATCACACATTTCAAGCACTATCGCGGCACTGAGCCAGACCACCGAATTCCTACCGTTCTACGCTCTGCCGTTTGTGCCCAATCCCACAGTACACCCATCCTTCCAGGAGCTTTTCCAGGTACAACACACATAACAGTCACCAAAACACCAGCTGATTAAAATCATGACAAAACAATCTGGGGTTAGTTCTTAGAAAAGCATACACTAGGATGCGTTTTCGTATAGGTGCATCATATTGTAGCTATGTACACTGAGCACTTGCTTGATGCAGAGGAGTTTTTAACGTGTTGTTGTTGTTTTTACTGGATCATAGGATTCCTGGATACCAGAGTTGAGGGAAAGGTTGGAGAAGTTTCTCTCAGCGACTCTGAAAGCTTCAAACACACCGAGGCTTCTGACTTTATATGTATCCTTTTTGTGTTTATTGTAGGGGTGTTGTACCGAAAAGTTTCGGTATGGGTCTTTCGGTTCGGTACTCACATGTACCGAACAAATCATTAAATTTTTTTTCAGGAAATTCAGACAAATATAAATGCCTCAGTTCTGACAGTTCTGACATCCATTCCTCTTTACTTCTAGTTTTAACGCAAAAAAACATCTCATGCCTCGTGTAATCACACAATCAGTGTTTCACTCATAGAAATATGCAATTAAAACGGCTTGTGAACGAAATGTCACTAGTTCAGAGAAATGAAGTCTAGAGAAGAGCATTTCGCTAAATATTAGACTATATACTCATTATATTTTACTTTACCTGTTAGTGATGTCTTCATTTTGTAATGATTATTTAAATACATATTTTATGAAGCAAGTTATGACAGCCACTGTGTTAATGATTATATTTCAACAACAGATATAAATTGTATAATTTAGAAGTGAATTTACATGTTTGCATACAAGTTTTTAATTTGAGTGTTGATTATTACAGTTAAAAATAAATAATAATTAAATTAAAGTGTGGGCTCTGTAATGAAACATTGTAGCCTTATGGCAATGCAAAAGGGCTCCCTATAGTTTAGAGCAGAAGCTGAGGTCAATTTGTAGGCATATAGATTTTTCTAAATTGTATTTTATGAGGTAGATTTAAAGAAAAATTTAATTATAATTGAATTTATTTAAAGAAAGAGCAATTTGTTCAGTAAAACATTGTTTAATTAAAAAAAAAATATATATATATATGTATATGTTTAGTATTTTTTCCTCCTGCTGTACCGAAATCATACCGAACCGTGACGTCAAAACCGAGGTACATACTGAACCGTCGTGTTTGTGTACCGTTACACCCCTAGTATATTGTGAGGCATTTTCTACAGTATATCGCAATTTTAAAGTTATGATTTACAAGTCTGTAAAACCCTTAGAAATTATAATTAATAGTAATTGTAAAATAAAAGTAATGAATAGAAATGAAAAATAAATAGTAATGAAATATAAAATAAAACAAATAATTGTTTATATATTGTGACGAGTCGGCTGCCTCCCCCTATTAATCATCATCACCCCATCCCTTAATCGCTGCCCTTCACCAGGCTCCCGACGGGAGTGGGTGTGTGAGAGAGGAGGGGCGCTGAAACAGCCGGGGCTGGCGGCGTGTGATGGGGCACACCTGAACCAAATGGAGCCTCATCACCGCCGCTGTTTAAATGCCGAGCGCGCCTCTCCTCGGGAGACCGGTCTCTTCCCCGTGCATGCACGCTGGTGTCCTCATGGGTCCAGGAAGGGTGCATAGAGGAATCTCCGTGCCGCCGAAGATGCGAGCTACCGGACCCGCGGTCCGGACGAGGGCCGCACCTGTTACACGGCCGTCGGGCCAGGATGCCGGGCCGTCTAGTCCCTTCACATGCCGGAGCCAAGGCGAGAAGGATGCAGCCGCTGGACGAAGCCGCCCCTCGCATCCCGGACTGGAGAGTGGAGCGCGTGCGGCTCCTTCCTGATCACTGCCCTTCCCTGCACGAAGCCCGCAGCACGACGAGGACACCAGATTCCCTGTTTATTTTGGACACTAGATGCCCCTTTTCCATGGACACTTTGTTGTTTGATATTATTTGTCAATAAAAGCCTCTCCGAGGCCTGACGCCACACCCCCTGTGTCTGTCGTGTGCTCGTCCCGTGACTATATATATATATATATATATAGAGAGAGAGAGAGAGAGAGAGATTGATATACATATAGAAATAAACTAAATGGAACAAAATGAGATAAAGATAAAAATCCTCAGAAAGTATAAGATAAAAATAAAGATAAAAATCCTCAGACATTTTCACTTTAATTACTTTGCCCAAGCATGTTGTCAAATAACGTGTACATTCATCAAACTTTGTCTATGCCAAAAATTGTAAAAAGATAAATGTTTCCAGTGGACTTTCAAAATTTGAAACATGAGAAACATGAAAATACGCAGCTACTTTTTAAAAAAAAATGTGTATTTTTTTATTTAATGTAGTTGAGTTCATTTTGCATCAAATACAATGTGAGTTCCAGAAATTAAGATCTGGAAGCAACAGCACATTTGTATTGATTAACTGACAGTTTTCTTTGCGCATCCAATCCCCCGCATGCCAACAAGCCAAACAGAACATGCAACAATGTTTTATTATGCCAACTTTGTTACACCTTAAATGCCAATGAAATTTATAGTTATGTTAATAATTATCCAGTTACCAAAGTCATTCTTTCAAATGATGGGCTGGGGATTCAGGAGTAAAGCTACTTCCTCTATACATCTCTATATGAGGAAGCAGCTTTACTCCTGAATCCTCAATCACATTGCAAATCATCATGACACATTTCTGTGGGTAATAATTAATTTTTTTTATCTAAAACAATGTTTTTCAATGAGAATGATTCACTTTTATTGATTCATGAAACATTATTCATCTCATTACAGATGCTTCTGTAATTGGCTTTTCTTTGCTACACATTTCAGATCTATAAAAAAATTGATCTTGGATCTAATTAACAAGGGGTGGAAATAATGGTGCTGTAACTAAATGCTGCACAACTTAGATTTTACTTTCAACTTTAAAACCTAGGTTTATTTTTTTTTACATGACATTTTTATCCTTCCCATATATCCTGAGAATATATTTTAGCAACCGAAGCAATTTATTTCAGCAATTTCATGCAAATGGAAATAAGAACATCATGCATAGGCCAAATCTTTTTTTTTTTCTTCACAATAATTCAGTCATTTTTTTCTTAATATTAATACATTATTTTGTGTATAATAATAGATGTATTATTTACAGAATAATTTATTAATAATTAATAATAGATTAAATCATATTTTTACAGCTTTAATATATATATTTTTTGTTCAAGGAATTAAATCGTAATTAAAGAGTTGAAAAACTGCAACATTTCAAGTCGTAACTTCTGCAAAACTTGGATTTTCCTTCAAATTTAAAACTGTAGTTTTCAATTTTTTTTATCCTACACCCCAGGCCACTGCATTTCTCATTCCTGGTTCAAGTCCAACATGTTTAAGGAGCCGATGCAAAGCCCAATTTTCCAGCCCAGAACCATCTTTTCTTGTCTTCTTTTGAACCTTGCAGAATTCTGCTAAAAGCGGGCACTAACTTCAGTACCATTGCCCCGACGGTAGACAAGGGCTGTATGTCTCGTGGCACGAGATCTCGCGAGATCGTGGCGATATCCTCGCGCAGACCTTTCAGATATATTTGCATTACACTGGCTCATTCACAAGTGGTGGTATGTAAGATATTATGTTCACATCAGGCAAGTGGCCGCATGATAACCGGGAAAATTACACAGTGTAGTCTTTATCCAGTCATAAAAACAGAATTCACAGTTTAACGTGGAATGTCACAGAATTTGTCAAATTTGTCATGATATGGACTAGTATCTGTAAATATTAAGCTGCAAAAGTCGATTTAATTAATCCTGCATGTTCTGCCTGTCTGTGTTAATGAATGGCGAAGACGCGCGGTTTCATTTACTACACACACACTGAAGCGCGCGTGACACTCGCGGTGATTTCAGCACCTGCCGTCTCACTAAATGAGGACGTAAACACATGAACAACATCTCCAGAACTGCTCTGAGAGTCACTTCATGAGCATTTTAGCGTTTGATTTGAGTAAAACTAGCGTCATATCTCATACACAGAACTGTAAAGGTATTCACTGCAACCCATCAAAATAAAAGTCCGGTTTGATTTGAAGAATGATAAATTAAATTAATGTTTTATGCCTTCATTTGATAACCAGAAAAATGTAAATATACAACACAGAATTTCTGAGGGGGAAAAAAATTCATAAGGCTACTTTAAAAAAAAGAGAAGAAAATAAGTTGTTTTATGCATTTAAAGTAATTGAACTATTAAAAAGGAGTCGAGAAAAATTTTAATGGAAAAAAAAAAATTGGAATCCAGAAAAATTTAAATGGAAAAAACGGAATTTGTAAAAAAAATAAAATGGAATTTGGGAAAAAATAATACGGATTTAATAGGGCCCTAACTATTCCTCAGCCTTGCCGCGCCCCCCCAGTTTGGGAACCACTGCTTTATTCTTTTAAATGGATACATTAATCGTACTTATTATATATTTTTTTTATTAAAGTGGAAATCAGTTTACTAAATAATGTAAACTTGACTGACTGCTTCACTTCCACTTTAAATGGATATTTATGTTGTTTATTATTTATTTTTTATTTATATTCATAATTTTTGTGCAATTACTTGCCTGTCAGTTGAGTTTGTGGCAAAACATTTTGCAGTATTTACATGTTGTTTATTACTGCATAAAATTTATTAAAATAGATGTTTAATTTCATAAAGTTGATTTCAAAATGCACCTACTTTTTTGCATTTTGTGTTTTTCAGTTGAATAAAATTAATCCATCAAAATGAACAATGAGTTTTTGGCATGACTCCTAAACCCCACAAAACCAGAACGAAGGTGGAAAAGGCATCAAAGGTGAATTATTCTGAGCCTAATCATTTAATTCAAACGTGCATATTTTTGTCACTAATAATTGGATTATTTAGCGTTTTCAGTTTTTTTTTGTTTTTTTTGCATATGAAACAACATTAGTCACAGAAACATTACAGTTTTGTTCTAAATACTTTCGTTTTGGTGTCAAAACTTTTTTTTTTTGAAAGGTTTATTAAAATATGATTTAATTAATATTTTTATTTACACAATATATAATATAATCATTTCATTAATTATTTAGATAAATAGTTTATATATTGGTGGCAAAATGTGTTATAAATTATGATTTTTAAAAATAATGGTTGACGTCATTAAAATATATATATATTGGTCACAATGTGCAAATTTTTTTTAATCCTGAATCCCCAGTTACATTTTAAATCACAATTACACATTAATGTGGATAATATCTATTTTTTTATCTTCATATAATATTATTTATGTACATTTTAAATATGCAATAAATACATAATAAAACTAAATATGCATTATTTTTGCCTCTAATAAAGGTATTAATTAGTAAAATTCCTTGGGTTTTATGTGTCTGTGAAACACAAAAACATTATTTTGTTCTAAATATAAAAAAAATAACATTTGCGATGTAAATTAAATAATGATTATAAAAATCATTATTACAAACTGGGTAATAATTACATTTGTTTTGTCATAATATAATATAACATAATATAATATAAAACTTCATATAATAAAATATAAAAATTAATTATTTAAATAAATAATTTAAATATGAATAACTGTGTCCCTATTTAGCTGTTTTATTTGCAT